CTCGGGCTAATACATCAGCCCATATCACAGTCAACCCTTCAGTATGCCCTTCGTGTGGATTTGTTTGCAAATCCCAAGCAGGATTGTTGTCTCATACAAAACAAACATAAAAGCTGAACTGAAAGACACTCATACTTCGAAAACAATGGGAGAGTCCATCATATATACAGAAACAGCAGATAATTTCATATATAGTGCTCAATATTAAAATAATATTAAAAATAAGAACAAATTTTACCAAGAAATTTTGAAGTGGGGGGGGGTTGATATTCAAAAGTTAAGCAATCTTTTGTTATATAGTAATATTTAATCTTTTAAACATTATATATATGTAAGCAAATATATGGATATCATCATCTTGCGGCCTCAGTATGAAGAAAAATATATGGAAAAACAAAAATCCGAATATGCAATTATGCTGTTTTAATGTTAATTTAATTTCTGTTTTGATTAGTCTTACTCTTATGTCCATCTTTTCATGTTGACTTGAATATCGTCTAATGTTAATTATGTTTTAATAACTGTCCTGAAGAAGGTCTACTAGACCGAAACGTCTGACGTCGACATTAAATTAACATTAAAACAGCATAATTGCATATTCGGATTTTTTGTTTTTCCATATATTTTTTCATATATATATATATATATATATATATATATATATATATATATATATATATATATATATATATAGTAATCTTTTAAACATAATTTATAAACAGATGCAGTGTTTGGTTAGTTATTTAAATTCTTTTGTTAAACATTAGTTAGTTTAGGACCATATATATCGCTTATTTTCAGGCATATCATCTACAATATGATGATTGATTAATTTTTTTTTTTTTTTACACCTTTTTTGGAGATAATGATTTTTTTACTGATACAGTTTCTACTAATTAACCCATAACTGGGGTGAGAAGTGGTGGATTCATATATTTCCAAAGGGTATTTGCAAACCAGACTGGAATTGGAAATTAGCTCTTTGATTTCCAATTCTGAGCTGTTGTCCATTACACCACCCAAACATCCAAGCATACAGCACCTGGTATTTCCAAGTGGTCACCCATCTAGGTCAAGAACAAGCTTGATGTAGCTTAACTTCAGTGATTGGACAAGATACAAGCCCAGAATATGACAACATACATGGCTGGGAAAAAATAACACATATCTATAACTTTTAGGCTTAAAAATCGAAAAGCAAGTGTGCATTATACATGCTAGATTACATCATTTAGCCATAATTAATATATTACATATATTTTATAATTCCATCCTTCAAGAGTCGCAGCCACAGGGGCCTTAACTCTTTAAGCCTGGAATTTCACAAATGCACCTGCAAAGTTTTACACGCTTAACATTCAGTAGAACTCGAATGTGCCAACAATTGGGTAGGAATGTATTTCAATACCTGTTACATGATCAACTAGAAATATACAACTTTGTAAAAGTAGATTGGAAATCTTGCCAGCAGATAGGGTATCTACTGGCAAGATTTCCAAGACCTTATCTTACATGAAGTAGTATCAAGTAGGTTAACTTACACACTTTGAGAGAATTGACATTTCATTAAGAGAATTCTATAATGACCTGAATAAATGCTAATCTGAAAGTGTAATAACTGTTGAATATGACAGTGATTAATTTATTGGCTAAACTGTAGTTATTTTTGCCTGGTCACCAAAGAAACATGCATTTTAGTGTTATCCTCATGGAATAATATTCTCTTAATTAATTTTATGTTTTTCATCAGTTGCTGTCTTCAATTGATTTAACTATGAATAAGACTTGTTCTGCTCCCAAGAATACATATGTATCGTACACATGACAGCCAGATAAGCATCTTAAAGCAATTAAAACTTTAAAAATGACAAGGTCCTATACATCGGCAGGTTTATTAAGAATCAAATTGGTAAAACTAGAATAGAAATAAATACATATAAATAAGATTAGTTAGTCTAAAAAAACAAACAAACAAGGGTAACAAGAAATAACGCAGGAGATTCTGAAGTCATCTGAAGGCCAACAGCAATTTTATTAAGTAAATTTGCTCTTTAGTATTTCAAGAAATTTTTGTGTAATTTTGATAAATTTATCTGTAAATATGAGAGTTGGTGTTATTTTCTGTGTGTGTATATATATTTTGTTGGATTGATGTGAGTTTGTGATCCTGGGTTTCACACTATTTGCGATTGTCAGACAAACTGATTAATTTTTAAATTTTGGATTTATATATGGTTGCATATATTGGTGTTTTTATGGAAGTGGGAGGAAAAATTGTTCTCGGAACGCCACTCATGCTTACGCAATCACACTGTTCACATATGTTTATGTTTGTGTGTGTCTGTGTACATCAATGAGTGTATGTGTTTGTATGTATGATTGCATAAGTATGAATCTCAACATATAATATCTAGTTTTATTAAAAATATTGATAATTTGTTTTTTGAGTACTAGATTTTAATGCAAATTAAGTACAATATAAATGTTTATTTATACATCTAAATGTATAGTCTACAGAAACACAAGAACCAATCTGTATGAATAAAATATTATTTTACATATTAATATTGACTCTGACATTCTATTACTTTCATTAGTCTTTCAACCATTGATTTTGTGAACTTTTTTACTATTTCAGCTTTAAAAATGACTTGCAGCAGTTTGTATTGTTTCTCAGATATCTTTGCTTGACTATTGCTTTCTGTTCTCATATACATCTCAATGATGAACTCTCCAGATATTAATCCAATAAGTTCCTATTGGATCAGTATCTGGAGAGGTTGGAGGCCATTCCATTAATTTGTTGCCTTTGAAACCTTTTTTGGAGGAGGTCGGTAATGCTCAACTTTGTAGAATGTGAAAGAGAATTGTTTTGCATGAATACAATTTTGTGTTAGAAACAGTGGGCATTACTATAACAGAAGTGAAAACCAAACTTATTGGTTAGCATAAAAAGAGATATCAAATAAGTTGTACAAGGTTTGTTGACCTTGATTAAAGAGAGGGAAAATGTGCAACTTTTACCTGAGGCATATATTGTATATCAATCAGTGTAGCAATGTCACCTGCTCAATTTGCAAGAGAATGCTTGCATCAACATAGTGCACATGAAGAGCAGACAAAGGAGTACAATGTTTCTGATGTGGTAAAACAGACAACTTTTTGTCTTTTTTCTTTCTTTTTTTTTCTGGGGTGCTAAGAAAACAAGAGGATGAAGTGGGGGGTTGGTTCAAAGACACAAATTCAGTTTCCTCCCAAGCAAGATATGAATGAAGTTCTACCTGTAGTTAAAGTGTGTGTCAGTGGAATCCTGTGGACTGTGATTGTTTTCTGTCATTCATAAGAAAATAAATTTGTTGCTTTTGGATGTACTGTCAATGGAAAGATTCTTAAATATCTTGGAGTTAGGAATATTAAACTTGGTGTGGGCAACACAAATGCTATTGATGTTGAAGTGATAAAAAGTTGATTTGATCTTCTGCCTGGATTTGACACCATTAAATACCTGGATGGAGTTTAAATAACGGTATTGGGCAACTTTAGGCTTTACTAAGGATGACATCGCTGTATCTGTGGCTATGAAGATTTTATTTTCATCAATGAAAGTATGTGATATGCATAAGAATGCATTTGGGAAAATTTGGACTAATGTGCAAGGTCCGAGAGTAATTGTAGGATGGTACTTGAATTTACAAGTCTGGAAGAGCACAATAAACTTACAAAGCTTTTTGTTCCCCCCCCCTCTCTCTCTCTCTCTCTCAACAACTTTTTATCTTAAGGCTTCTTGATTGTAATTTGTACCACTCAATATGTTATCCAAAAACTTAGAATAATTCTCTGAATTTATTTTGATGCCATCACCAACTTTAAAAGACATTACTTCCTAACCCCAAATGTTACTTAACCACTTCCTGTAGTCTTCTAAGCTGTGTTGGTTGACTATTTCCAAGAAGGAACTAACCTCTAGCCCAGTTATCAGATCCATTTCATGTACTACACTCGTTGATAAAAATGACTGAGAAATCAATTTTCATCGATTTTGTCCAACTGACATGTTCCTTTTGTGAAATTAACTTAAACATGGGATGGTTTATGTTATGTCTTTAACCAGTGAATATTTTCTCTATTTATATTAATTAATCTTTCATTTATTTTTTTTCTCTCTTGTTGCCAAAATTTTCAATTTCTTTTTTGTTTGGTTTCTGATGTCAAAGTTTTTATAATTTTCAAACTTATATTTCTCTGTTTACTCAATAATTTTACAAGCATCTTGTTTCTATTTTATTCTATCTTTCTTATGACCCATGGTAATCTTTATGTATCTTGAATAAAAAAAAAAAAAACTATATTCTATATATTTACTTAAAATATAAGGAAGAATCCTTAAAGATATATCATGCAATCTCACAGCAACAAAATTATTAATATAAATATTTTAAAAAAAACTGATATTATAAACTGAAATTTCCATGGTGCATTTATATAAATATACTCTGATAATTATACCAACATCAGTTCATCAATACTAATTTTATTGTGAAAACATTGATTTACATGATAAAATCTGACTACACATGGTAAGAATTTCTGATCAAGGTGTAAAAAGTATATATGAAACAATTATGTAGAATGGTAGAATATGATATATAAATTTTTATATATCAGAACAATATTAGGCAGTTGAATGACAAAGCAGAAAAATTCTGTGTAAAATGTTTTGTCCTCTGAAAGGACTTCATTGGACTAAATAAAAAAACAAAAACTTTAGTCTGATGAAATCCTTCTAGAGGACAAAACAAGTTACACAGAATTTTTCCACTCAAATACAAAGCAATTATATGTTATGAAGAAAAGCCATTCTTCATAACATGATTGCTTTGCATTTGAAAATTGCACTCGAAAAAAGTGAATTTTTTAAAATTTTATTTATGCATGTTAAGAGAAAATGATAACATTTAATCAACAACTTTATTTAATTTATTTCTTCTATTTCTTTTTAGCTGGAATGAATGGCTGAAATTACCAGTGAAATATAGTGATCTCCCCAGAAATGCAATGCTTGCACTGACAGTCTGGGATCTGTATGGCACTAACAAATCTGTTCCAGTTGGGGGTACTGTTATTAATCTATTTGGTAAACGAGGGTGAGTGATGATTTCAGCTTTTTATTTTCTTTTTCTAGCAGTTACATGTTTCATTGTAAATAAAAACTGAAAAAAAAAAAATTCTGTGTATTTATATAATCTTTAAAGCATTTTTACCTATTTTTTATTTTCATTATTGCCATTTTTCTGACTATTAGTGGGTTAGAGCCTACTAATAGTCAGAAAAATGGATTTACATGCTTAAATGAAACTGTTTTATAAAAATTATGAGATAAATATGAATGTTTGATTTAAAAAGCCAAATATGTATATATTTTAGTTTAATATAAATGTTTTGAAATTATCCGCTAAATAAAGATATTTACAATTTGGTTGTAGATTAAATAATTTTGTAATTACTTAGAAAAAATAGTGTTAAAACAATTATATACAAATGGTTATTATAACTAATAAAAAATTTCTAAGAATTATATTGATGTGTAGAAGATGAACACAACTTTATTCTGGACTGATAATTTGGTTTCTTACCTTTTCAGACAACAATGCAAAATACTTATAGAATATAAGTTGTTGTTTACTTACCAAATAATTAGTAGTCAGATTAATCAGTATTTATTAGTATCATTTTAAGGATGTGTAGCTGGCATAGTGGATATTGGCTTGGAATAAGAAATTGGCAATATTCAAATTCCAGTTGAATTTTGTTACTTTTCATTTACATGCTTGGGAAAAGTATAAATCCATCTCTTCCCCTTTGGCCATGGGTTTAATAGTAAGGTAGACTGGGTTCTTCAGTTTTGGTTGGCAACCAGTCTAGGAGAAGAATAACTCTGGATTCAAGACCATATGTAACCTGGTGAAGGAGATACTATGCAGTTAAATAAGATTGTGGAATTCACAATAAGTGTGACGTCACCCTGGTCCTGCTCCTGTGCTATCCTGTGACGATCTAACCCTTGGCTGGTTCGGATGGAAATCTGGTTAGATTCGATATCAGCTTTGTCGTTCCCAGCTCGCTTCCAATGTCTGGTTACTGAAGTAACTGCTTTGATTTCTAGTCTAAGCTACCCACGTTGTGATTTGATCTTAGGTAGACGAAATCAATCAGGCGTCAGGCCGTAGCGCAAGCTGAATCCGGGGCAAAGGTGATACCACACAAGTATATGTAAAAGAAAATAATGTAACTCAAGATTCAAATGTGTTGAAAAAAAAAATAACAAGTATCTTTATGTCTGTTTGCTGAATACAGGACTGCATCTTTCTCCCAAACCGCTCCTATGGATTCGTGATACTTGTTTTGGTGGTGTGAGTCTAAGTCGTTCTTCAAAAAAAAAATTGTTTTTGGTTAGAAGTCTGTTGGAATGCATGGAAATCTTTCAGTCAGCTCCTGTGAGGCTGGTCTCCGAGCTCACAGCTCAACTGCAACTCAACTCTGTGACTCCAACTATCACCAACTGTCCTTACTCTGGGGATGTTCGTTTATATGGACGCCAACCAAAACCGGGTGGGGGCCTGTTGTGGTTTGGGTTCCTCAATAATTCCAAATCCACAATAAGGATTTTCTTTGTTTTCAGACAGGAAAATTTATCACTTCCCATTTTTGGAAGTCAATTACTTTCTGTTTTAGAGGGGTTCTTAAGGGAATTATCCTCCTAAATTCCTCCCCTCTCATATTGATATCTCACACCAATCCCCTCAGAGGGCGTCAACAGGTTTCCCTTCTTTCTCATATGTTTACCTTCGCCCATCGCTCACGCCACCATTCAGCCAATGAACGCTCGGCAGTGTGGGTGTGGCTCGACTGGCCTCAGTTTACAATTATCGCTCAAAGAAAAAAAAATTATCTTCCCTTTTCTTTTCTTTCTTTTCCATCGGCCAGGATTCTTATGAATCATACTGTGGACATTAATTTTTTATCTTAACTTGATGTCATCTGGGATTCATTAATGGGATTTTCGCCGACTTATTATCTGGGTGGTCAACTAAATCTCTTTGTCTTTCTCAACATCATCGCATTCTGTCGCCAACAGCTTGTCCAGGTAACAAACTTTTATCATGACAAGTTCTGGACATACAACAGACGGTTCTTCTTCAAAAACCAAATGATATCCCCGAAAGATAGTTAATGGCTTATTCTTTTTCTTTTTCTCTTTTTCCTTCCGTTTTTTTGGGGGTGGTCTCACCTAATTCTTTCTCGGTCACATGCTTGACCCAGTTTCTGATTATCTTCTAGCATTCTGCTTTGTAAGCCTCTTGACCAAATTGAAATTTTCATTATTGCCATGGGCGGATTGTTATCTTTTACCTGTATTCTGTTTTTCCTTGTCACATCATGGCATAAATTAATTCTGACAGATCCGAGATCTTACGAATTTTCTATCTTCTGCGAAAAAAAATACCTTTCTTCACAAATGAAAATAAAATCTTTACCCATTTTTTTTTTTTTTTTTTGTTTTGTTAAAAAAAATAACATCGCTCAGTATGTCTTTCGTTATAGCTTTTTCTCACCTTTAATTTCCATGCTTAATTAGTTAGCCAATTACCATAGCTAAATAGTGTCACATAAGTCTATGATTGTGATTGCAGTTGATTTGTTGGTTTAATATCAGTAAGTGTTGCTGTTAATCTCTTTTGGGAAATCAACTCTGACTGTTAATTCATTAGAAAAAAAAACACTTGCTTCAACAATTTGATGATTATAATGAATTCTTCTATTGGGCTTAGAAAAAAAGGGATAAATATACTATCAAATTGCAAGATTGAAATTTAATAGTTTGTGAGTTTTAATTCTTAATCAATATGGTTAGAAAAGAGAGCAAGGTAAATGCAAGTAAAAAAGAAATTACCTTTCTATGTTAAATTGAATGAAAATCGTACTCATTTTTTCTAGTAAATTGATTTGAAATTCAAGTTTTTTTTTTGGTTTTTTTTTTCAGTATTTGGAAGTTGATAAAGTTATGAATTTTCAGTACATTTAAGACTTCTATTTTCATATAATATATACAATCTTAATAAATTCAAATTTCTTTGGCACATAGATTTTATATAAAGATAGAACAATGGCTCTGTAGCCTAATACAGTTATTAGCTAAGTTTTAATATGAAATTTTTCAATGTATAATGTCCACTCTGTGATTATCAGAATAATGATGATAAAGAAGGTTGTTGTTTTTAGTTTGTTTTGTTATATATATATATATATATATATATATATATATATATATTTTTTTTTTTTTTTTTATGACTGTTCTTACTATCTTAATGTGACAAATTCTAGATGATTTCTATGTAGCTTATTCATTACAATCCAATTTATAATTGACTGCTCTATATATCCAATTAGATTTTGTAAAGAGACTATATTTATCAATTTTGTGTTATGCATGTACAGTATCACCTTTTCACTCTGTAGTTGAAAAGTTCTTTAAATGTTCTAAAACAAAATGTTGAATTTAAATATAATTTCAATAACGATAAAAGCTCAAATGACACTTGTAGGAATTGTTTTGGTAAAATTGGTTATCGATGCTCTTTATAAAATACTTGTGCTCCATTAAGAATTTGTGAGTTCCCTATTCAGTTAAAGTATTTTAATGAATAAAAATTATGGAATATTTTACTGAAAAGTAAAATATACTTCTTGACTTATTGAAAATTCAAAGTATTTTCACTTTAAAAAATTTTAAATCTTTACTTCTGAAAAATTTAATAAATTTTTTATTTTCATTTTTAAAATTAATCAGAAAAATATTGTATCTTGATAAAACATCGAGTTAATTAAAAAAAATGAAATTGATTAAATTTTCTAAAAGAATGGTTTTAATCAAAGCCATGTTTGATTTGATGCTGTACGATGACAAAAATTACATTCACTGTCAGTTGAAAATCAAACAATTTCTGATTACAAATTCTTTGTAAAATATTAATGTGTGGAGAGGAGATAAAAAATTTGAACATAACTGAATGAATTAAAAAAATTTAAAGATTTTTCCAAATTAGTATACATTGGGGATTTAGCACAAAAGAACTTGAAAATAATTTGTAAAGTATTTTTCTTGCTATTTGGATTTAGCAGTATAACTGAAAATCCCATTTCAGTTATGATAGGTTATAGAAACAAAATGCCTACAATAAAGTATGTCTACTGTTGAATCTTATTGCTGTGAGAGTTCAAAGAAAAATGTTTTTCTTTCTTTGTTAACTCAAGTGCTTTAATTGAAAGGATGACAGCTGTTAAGCCTGTCTCAGTTCCACTTAGCTATTCAATTGATTTGTAGCATTATGTATGAAGAGACTTGCCTCACTATTAGTGTACATAACTATCTTTCTCTATTATAGTATACTGACAATTGAGCTGTGACATCAAATATACACAGTCTTAATGGTATTGTAACTAATACAAAGATTTTGGTGATTTTCAAAGAGGATTTTATGACACATCTTATGTGATTCTTTTATTTTAAAATTGGGAATCAATATTTGATCAGTATCTGACAGCTTCTCTTAAGTTTTCCTATGAAAAATTATAGATAATTAAAATTTTACATTATATTTTAAATTAAAAGTCTACTAATGGTTTTTATTTTCCCATTTTATTATAGTTATCCTATATAGTTAGATATACTATTACTATTGTAGTTAGTTAATCCTCACTAGTTGTGTTCCCATTCATAACCTACAAATAATTATCCAAGATATCTAAACACATACTAAAGTTATATTGTTATGTCTCTGCTGAATAGGTTGATTTTTTTTTTTTTTTAAATAGGAAAAGGTGAATGAATGGTTGACAGATGTTTCCTTGTTTCATTTAGGCTTTCTTACAAAGCTATTTCAACAGGTGATAAAATTTGATTACTTGGTCAGTTTTCATTGGTGGAAATTCAAATTTCCTTTATTACTTCCTATAAAGACATCCTCAATGTCAATAACATTTCAAAATTATTTTATGCAACAACTCATACAGCAAAGTAATATGAAATAGTGTTTGATAGAAGTAATGCTCATTGATGAGGCCTGTTTGAGGAAAGGATACAGAGAAGGATGGGGAACAATCTCAGGGTGTCAGATGTCGATTGACATTACACTTGAATATTTGAAGATTATAGTCGTCGGGGAAGCAAGTAAGGGGAAGGGAGTTCCACATATGGGAAGTGTGGGAGAAGAAGCTGCTTGAGTAGAAGAGACGGTTACATTTAACCATTTTGATAGTGAACGTGTGGGACCAAGATGCCAGCCTGGTAGCTCACTTAAATTCATGTACTCTTGGAACCAATGAAAGTGGCTTGTCTGAACAGTTGCCATGAAAATACTTGTAGAAGAGACAGGAGGAGGCCATGACATGTCTGTGGGGTAGCAATTGTAGGCTAGATGCCAGATCAGGACCTATCATCTTGCATATTTGTCTATGGATTTTGTCTCGTACCTCAAGGTATTCCATGCAAGGACGAATGGTTGATCATCTGACATTGTATATTTTTTAAAAGCAATACAAAAGGTTCTAAAGCACAAATTTTCTTAATTCCTTAAAAAGAAAAACAAAAAGTATTATAATCTAGTCTGGTACTGTAACCATTGAGATGGAATTGGTGAACTGAGTTCAGGTTCCAGCTGAGACTGTTTCCTTACTAATGACCTTGTGAAAGGCATGAATTCATATCACCTCCCCAGCTATGGATAAAATAACAAGAAGGATTGGTCTCTCTATTTTTGGGTGTCAAACAGTTTAGAAGAAAGTCAAACCTGGAGAATACAATAAGAAGCCACTCCACTATCTTTTTCCAAGAATAATCCTACCAATGCATAGTTTAAAGATATCAAAATAAAGGGAACCTATGGAGAGCCATAATCACATGAATTAACATTTATTTAAAAAGGGTCTTTTATAAATCTTCAAGATGTAAATGATTATTGCTTTCCACAGCTTCTTTCTTCTTTATAAGGAAAAGACAAACTAAAACGAGAGAAGGGAGATGCTGAAAAGTTCCTGACCTAACCAAAAAGGGATAAAAAAAAATAATTGATCTTTGATTATTTGGTAAAATTTTGAAAGTAGATAAGGCTAGAAACCTTTCATCATATCCTTGTACATGAAGCAATAAGGTTACCTGGAATTTAATATCACATTAAAATATGCAATTTTGTAATCAACCCAAAGGAAGAAATTGAAGCACTTCATGAGAATCTGGTGCAAAATTCAACCAGAAATGAAAACCTCCCTCATCATCAGTTATAACATAAGAAATACTGTATATGAACAAAGTGCAAAAGTATTTTTTTTAATACTAAAGTTTACCCAATACAAAGCTTGGGTACCATTTAAGGTAGAATGCTACTGAATGAGACATATAAGAGAAGTGGTAGGAAGTAAAGATTATGAGGATAGATTGACCATTGACTTGAAGAGGTTAAGATTGTAATGTTCAGGGAAATATCCATGTGGGAGTATGTTCCACAAAGTAACAATTATTGGAAAAAGCTGTCTGAGTGAAATTTCTTACAATTGGAATATAGAAGAAATAAAGACAATTTAACTCTGTGTATGCAACATGGTGTGTCCCTGTTATAAAGGTTTGAACTGATGAAACTAAAAAAAATAACTCATCTGGATATTTCCATGGTAATAAATTGAAGAGTAGCAATGTTGAATCCTGAGATAAAAAGCTGCAGGGTGGTTATTAACAGGTCAAACTGACTTCAATATAATTCGATCCACTAAAAGATTTGCCATGTAGAATAAGAATAGCTATCATAAAGTATTTGTTTCTGTGTTCTTTACAGTCCATCACTACAAACTTTTTATTGTCAATGAAGCATTGGCCAGAAACTTTAGTGAACAGAATGATTGCTATCTTGTAGTATGAGAATCCAATAATGGAGAAAATAGTCATTGGTTTGTGGTAGTTTGATCTTCTATCCTTGTCACACCTTAATACCTTTGGATTATCATTTGTTTTCATCATTGGAACATTTTCTTAGTTTTAGTACATTAAAAAATAAAGACATCAAACTTCTTAGTAATTTTTTTTATTAAAAGGACCAGATCTTTAGCTGTGGGAAATAGAAAATAATTTCCATTTTGTAGAGCTATTGTAACTGCTAATGACAACAATTATGTAATTGATTAAGGCAATTATATAGGCACATATTTTTTATTTAATCTTTGAAAATGCAATATTACTTTCATCATCATTACTTTAATAACAACCTAATAAATATGTGAAATTGCTTCATATATTTTAAGTGATTGTATTGTTATTTCATCTTTGATCTTTATATATACATCTTTGATATGTAAGGCATACTATAGTAAGTTAGATACTTCAGTTATTTTTAGCCCTCATTATAAAATATCTAAATATTGATATGTGACAGCATGATGTGTTGATTTTACAAGCATATTAAATCTACAATCAGTCAAAATAGAATTAACCTTTATAAAATCTTGAAAGGGCAAATTTGGGTTGTCTAGGTTTTATGTTGAAATGAAGAGTTGAAAAATATGCAACTTTTTATTACAAAATAACATCTTTTTTTTTTGTTGTTTTTGTCTTTTTTTTGGTTTTTGTTTTCATAATTTGGCACTAAAATCAAAATTAGGAAGGTAGCTAAATTTTTGCAAAACCCAGAATTGAAATGTAAGACCTGGGATGTTGATAAACACAGAAATTGAACCAGTATGAGAAAAAAATGAAAGATTATAAAGGTACTTATCCATTTCCTTCATAAAATAGTTGATTTGAAATCTGTTTTTTATTCTCCTGGAAAGACAGAGACCTCTTTGTTTTGAATGAAGAATTAATGAATTCCAATAATTCATTTTTAAAATTTGGAAAAATATTTTTTTCATTCTGATTTCTAATTAGCTAATCTCGTTTGAAGTGCAAGCATATCAGAAAGAGGTATTTATGATTTTGAAGTCACCAGTTTTTCACTTTTAATGGAACATACTCAGCATTTCAACCAGCCTAGCTTTTTCAGAGTAAAAAAAATACATAACCTGGATGGGGAGGGCTCCAATGGCAAAGAGAGAGAGAGACTCAACCAACCAAAAAGAGGTGTATTTTCATAATTCATTACTCTAACCAGGATATGTACCTAACATTATCATAGATTCATAATGAATAAAATAAAAATGCATCATTAAAAATTAATTTCTTAAAAAAGAGTGTTCAATCCGGGTTACTAAAACAGAAGTTACATTGATGCTGAAAAGACTTGCTAGCAAGATGAAAATTGGAAGCATCATTTGCCTGTTATGTTTCACATAAGGAAAAACATTTAACTATATCAGCTCCACAATATGCCTCCAGACAAAAAAAAAGGCAAATAGTTGTATGAAGTAAAATAACTTTATTATGAAGGTATTTGTATGCTATTCATCTGGATTCTTATTGTATCAAGATCTGAAATTCAAGCAAGATATATGGTTTTTATCTTCATCTGGTAACTGTTCCCTAAAATTGTTTAAAATTTAATGTGCAGAATCTCTAGTCAAAAATTGCTTGTGTTAAATGTAAGTTATTGTAACTGTATTTCATGACTGTTTCCTTTCTGTCTTTTGTCGTTTTTTTTTTCTAGAACATTCCGACAAGGTATGCATGATTTGCAAGTGTGGCCTAATGTTGTAGCTGATCCTTGTCCCCAATCTACAACACCTGGCAAATCTAAAGATAAGAATGATCAAATGAGTCGTCTGCTTAAGGTAATCTCTCATTTCTCTATTTGTAAATAGTTTCTTGTAATATTTCATAAACTCAAGTGTAAGTGTGTTCAATATTTACCTATAGGTGCAACCAGAATAAATAAATAAATAAATAAAAAAAAAAAAAAAACAGATTGCAATATTAAACAACCCAACAAAGGCTGGTATGCCATAGGATCTACCAACCCAACCTTTTCTATAAACATCTGTCTGTATGTCATGGTATTTGCAATCAGAAAGGAGGCCATGACAAATCAATTATTGAATTTAGATACCCCATTTCCCCTGAAAGCTGTATGTAGCAATTCAAAATAAATATATCTTTGATCCAATTTTTTTAAGCATTCAAATCCATACAAAAAAAATTCCATAAATATTTTAACCTTGGAAATGAACATTTAGTCAGTACGAAACACATACCTTCTATTTCTAACAATGGTGGGACTCCAACATAAATAATATATTAACCTAAACCTTCTGATTTGAACATTTCGTTTCTTCTGCAAAACAATTTCTAAAGTTTATATTGATTAAAATCTGAAATATTTTTATAACTCTTGAAGGACTAACATTCAATAACCAAAATCATGTGCAATTTGTTTCTACTATTTATCTACTTTATATATGTTTTATACACACACATAATTTTTTCTAATTTTTTTTTTTTTTTTTTTTTTTTTTTTTGTATGTGTACAGCTCAGCAAGAAATACCGTGATGGTCACATGGTCAAAGTTGATTGGCTTGACAGGCTAACATTCCGAGAGATTGAAATGATAAATGAAAAGCAGAAACGGGATTCCAATTTCATGTATTTAATGATTGAGTTCCCTAACATTCATTTTGACAATACTGAATTTACTGTAGTTTATTTTGAAAAGGTAAGAAAATTCTTGTAATTTTAATTTCTTATTTTATTATGTTCATCAATTTTTGTATAAGTGAACTTTCAGCTCCATATTATAATCCAGTGATAAAGGATAGTAAAGGAAGTAAGCAAATTGTTAAACATATTCTTCAACATTCAACTGGTAATACATTGTAGAAAAGTTCTTTTGACTATTAATAGTTTCGTTTTTAATTTCATTGAAAATATATGAAAAACTATGTGAAATCAAAGAATATATGACATAGTTCTTTGATCTTTCTGATGGTAGCTTTTATAATACAATACCATTTAGTATTGGAGGAAATTTTCAAATCATTTTTTGTCTGTGATGCTAAATAACATTTAAATGGTAAATTATAATGAATATTTTATTTTCATTATAGAATGGTGATAAGTCATATCAATTTCGCACTTATGCTGAAATTGTTAATGTTCCAGATCATGAAATAATGTTGGTAAGTGTTGTTTGTTATAAAGAAACGTTTTTTTTTAAACTTTTACTCATGTTTATCTCTATACAAAGCCCAAGAGCTACTCGATGTTACTGAATGAGGTTGTTGTAATAAGAGTAAGAAACACAGTTTATGAGGATATATGAGGAAGATAACAGTTAACACTAGGTTTGAAGAGGTTAAGATTATAGTGGTCAGGAAAGCATCATCTTGGGAGTTGGTTCTACAAAGTAGCAATTTGTAGAAAGCAGCTGTTAAAGTGGAACTTTCTTAATAATGGAATACAAAGGGAATAAGGATGGTTTGCCTCAATGTATGTGGTATGGCAGGTCTTAGAAGGTTAGAACTGGTGGAATTCAGGAATATAGCTTTTCAGAACATTTTCCATGGAAATAGTGATGATAGTAAGAGGCTAACAATGTTTTGTCTGGTAGGGAAAAAAATGAATCATTCAAAAGGCCACACAAATGCTTTTGGACTTTATCAAGACTGGAAAGTGAAGACTGGGTAGCTCCAGCCCAGTTATAGCAGCAGTACACCATTTTCATCTTGATCTGGCTCTTGGAGGGAGAGAGCATAACAGGAAGAGCCCAGTACTTAGTGGAACAGTATAAGGAACTAATTATTTTCCAGTAACTTTAGCAATGGATTGTATATACAAGTTCATTTTAAGTCTGGGATGAGTGTAAGTCCCAATAGGTATTCAAGACCTCCTTGAAAGAACACCCATTCATTTCGACAGGCAAATATTCAGATTCAGTGTCTGCTTGGTGATGATGGAACATTATTATTTTAATATTTGTATAGTTACACCAACTTTAGTTTATATAACTATATATAATTATACAAAACATTTATGTTAAGTAATTAAAAGAAAATACTTATTTTCTTACTTATAATATTTTATACATTTCAAGTGTTTAGGGATATTTTTGGTTTCTTCCCAAAAACATTTCAAAACAAGACCAGCTTTACACTTTATGTAAACCATACAGTTGCCATCTATTTGAAATATTAGTGATACCATCATTTAAAGAGTGAGAGAAATGACCTTGCATAATTTGTATAAGGAAATATAATTTACACAAGATTTTTAGTATCAAAAATGATAACGAAATATGATTGTTTTAAATTACGGGAAAATATTATTCAAAGCTTTTTCTTTTTTTTTTTTTTTTTTTTTTTTTTTTTTTTTTTTTTTCTTAAAATTAATTTTTTTAAAATAATTATTACCACAATTTAATTCCGACATTTTTATTGGATATTGATAGGTTTAAGAATTTTTTTTTAAATAGCTACATAATTTTTATTTGTTGATTTAGTTTCAGGGCTGGAAGTGCTATTTCTGAAGTTCTTGGAGCAAATTACTGGTGTTATTTCTTAAGTGCTTATTACAAATGCTTCACATGAAGAACTGGTGTAAGTGTTGTCATTTAAGCAGCAATTACAAATAGATGTTAGTTTAGACATGATACAAATAGCAGAAGATTGAGCAGTATTGTAGTTTCTTTGTAGCACAAAATCTATGGTAAATTGCCTCCAGCAAAAAAAAAAACTACTTCAAGAAACATGGAGAAGTTCATGAGCTGGAAATGATTCAATACAGATCTAAATTCATCTGCAGTTGCAAAAATATATATATATATATATATATATATATATATATATATATATATATATATATATGGGCATCAATCCCACTTCTATACAAGTTTCATTAAAGACGACTGAGAAGAAACTGCAATTAAGCTTTTTACTCAATTTTTCTTGTGTTCATATAAGTGTTTTCTTTTCTGGACATAAAGCTTCTAACAACTGTCCAAATACTCTATATATCCAAGTGCTTTAGGCTATTTTATTAGCCATTATCAAGAATGTTTTTTTCATTTTTAAATAAATATGTAGATTTGTTTGTTTTTTTTAAATTTTCCAAACATGGCCATGTTCATAGTTTATATAAGCCAATACTCCATAATATTAACTATGAACATGCCCACAATGTGCTGACCGTGTCTGGCAAATAAAAAAAAGACATTCCCATCACTATAGATACACATATCTAAAAAATCTACATATTTCAGTTAAAAATAAAAAAAATAAAAAAATATCCTTGATAAAGGCTAATAGGATAGACAAAAGTATTTGGCTATATAGAACATTTGGACAGTTTTACACATTTTATATCCAGAACAGAAAACGCATAAAATATTGAATAAAAGAAGCTTAATCAAAGTACCTTGTCAGTTGTCTTTAATGAAACTTATATATGTTAATTGCCACATCTTACTCAGATGAGAGCCACCTCCTCACCCATCACATCATCTGTAATAGCTTACATCTCATTTTGGCATCCAAGATTTCTTTGTAACAAGCATACTATACACTCCTGTTTACTTATCAAATGGTTGAGGAACCACTGTGTTCATTAAACAGCATTTACGGCCTGGTGATAAGCCTTTACAAATGACACCATCAGTACAACAACAGAACCTAGACCTGATGGATTAAATATATCTTCTCAGGTTGTCTTAAACACATTTCATAGAGTGTTATCCCTGATGTACTGCACTGTATGTAAGAGATGTCTTATTGAATGCAATGCATCAGCGATAACTTTCTAGAACAATCCTTTAAGGTGAACAAAATTTAGTTAGAACTATGGTAACTGAAAGAGTAGTAGTTCATTTACAGTTAAAGAGAACTACAAAAACAATATAATAGTGATCAAGATTTACTGTCTCAAGCATATCAAGAATTTCACTACACCTGTTGGACATTCAAAACAAGTAACATGAATCAAAGATAACTGATATGGTATAACCTCAAGAAGAAAGACCTAAATAAATTTCCTCTACTCTTAAGCATAATTTGATTAGTTGTGTATATTCTATAAAAAGCTAAATATGATGAAACAAGTTGAGATCTTGTCCTCAATATGCCCCCATGAGAGTTTTTTCCAAGTTCTCCTTCCTCATTATGCCCAAGGAATTTTAGCAGTCTTTTCCTGATTCTGAGTAGAAGTGTTCTTTATGTTGCTCCAACCATGGAATTTTCATTATTCTTCTGAAGAACCGCATTTCTGCTGGTTCCATTTTTCTCCTCCTCCATGGGAAGATTTTCCAGCATTCTATGCCATATAAGTGGATAGATAACACATAGCAACCTGGCATTCTTTTTTTTTTTGTTTCTAACAATTTTTTTCCATTTCTCTGAATCTTGCTTAGCTTTTGGAATGCTTTTTTCACTAGTCCAGTGTCTGGTCAGAGCTCAATGTCACATTTCCCATCCTCTGTTAAAATGCTTCCCTGATGAAGACACTACTTTTGTTTTTACATCACAAAGTACATGACTTTATATAAACAACTCACACTTCAACTATGACTATGAAAATAAGGTAATTCTTGCTTTTGTAGTTACTCAAATATAATCTTTGGTTATCAGTTTCTAGTCAGGATTTATTTTGGCTAGTATTTATCAAACTGGAATGCTAAAATTTATTCATCATTCAAGTGGTGTTTGACTAACAAAATATTGGAAAATACTGATCTACGTCATCTTCAAAGTTTTAGATGAATTGTCTTAATGAAAAAAATTGACTGATTTCATGAATGTAATCTATTAGGATCAGCAAGAAGCATGAGTGTTTGCATTTTATCAGAGTTAGATGTTGCAGGTTTGTCAGCTTCAGCATTAAATTGATTAAATTAATCAATCATGTCTGTATTAAAACTATATTAGGGTCTCCAAATTTGGTCAGACGCTATATCTTCATGGCATTCTCATGCACTGATAGAGAACCAACAAAACTTGGTGATATTGTGAGAAATTACTGGAACATCCTGGGTTAGTGTAGTGGTATGCTTGTCTTCTGATTATTTTTTTTTTTTTTTTTTTTTAACTAATGCTGTTTTTGTATGTTTTTGTTTATCATTTAGAACTTTTACAAATCTTCTGTTTCTGTGCATGTATTTACTTATAAAATCCTAAATGATACAGAGTTTAGTTATATTGCTCAAAAAATAATACTTAAAAAAATTACTGGCTACTTTTAGTCAGAATAAATAAGTATTATATAAAATTATTTACTCTAATGCTTGTCTTTGAAAAACATTTTAAATGCCACCATAACCAAACAATATAAATAACTATTTACTGTTTGATAATTTAAATAGTTCATAAGTTAAATAATTAACTTGTTGGCTTTGTATGGTATTCAAACAATTTAAATCCTATATTTACTATATTAATTTGAAACATTTAGTATATATAATGATATAAATATTTACTTCTGAGTAGGTGTATATTATAGTTCAAAGCTAGACTACAGTACTTAAAGCTAAATATACCTGAAGTTTTTGAATTGGTGATGCTTGTTACCACTATATTTTCAGACTTGAGGTGGGGAAAGAACTTTTTATTACACATAATTTTTGTAAAACCATCAACTGTCCTAAATAACTGTTCTTACTTTGATGGACTGTTTTTTTTTTCCTGCTAAAATATGATTCTTTCTGTAACCATTATGATATATCTGCTTTTGAATTGCTAGACCTGAAACAATTTATAGAAAAATTTCCACCTATTCTGTTTTATTCATTAGCTTATATAATTTTGTTGTCTCCTACAGAATTTGAGTGTTCTTTATAGTATGAATAAATGGCCTGCAGATCATGGTCACAGCTGGAAATTGTCCTGTAACTTTTGTTTTCATTTTACTATTACTTTTTCATGGCTGACTAATTATTATTCAGTAAATGCAACAGATGAGATAGACTAGTTGGGCGATGAGAACCACTTAAGAGAAGTGTGCTTCCCAAGAACAAACATTGAAAATATCTGCTTCAATTAATCTGCCTGCCTAAGCTGAAAAAAAATCAACTAATAATAATAATATTCACTGGGGAGGAGAAAACCCACAAAAATCAAACAAATTACCTAATGTACAGAGAAAGGATTTTACTTTGAAGAGCATGAATTTTTTCAAGGATTTTTATTTATTTTAA